AATCAGAACATATTCGTAATTCGTAGTTCGATCACAGTGCTATACAACCTTCATATCGTACATCGTTTCAAATATTCAAACCGTACCTCTGTTTATATCACTAGAAATAGAATAAGTAAACGTAAACGTTTTCTCTCCCTTTTATCACAACCTGAACAATAGGTAACAGGTACTTTGGTTGTGGTGATCAATAGATCAAAGTTTCATGTACATGAGATGAAGAACAAATTTCCTTCATGGTATGATTGAAAACAGGAAAATACTATTTCGAAATGAGTTCAACACAGAACACAACATTTAAAGCCGTTTCAACATCAGTGCACTTCATTATATTATACCTTTCGTCATTATTATGTACATTTGCCACATTCAGAAAACAAAGTCATTTTAGCCCAGTACGAACAGCTACAGGTGATGCCTCTATTGACAATACGCCTGTAAGCATTTTACCCACAGTATCCAGGTCTCGTCAGGATCACTTCTGTACTTTTCAAATGCTAACAAAATATCTGAAAACAGGGTTGCCTCCCTTTGACACGCTACCGTAAACGTGGTATGCATTATTCAACCTTTTCTGTCCCTGGCATTGTCTGCAACTGACTTTGTTGACTTGATACAAGACAGGATAATGTTTGTAACGGCGGTGGCAGTACGGCTCTTGCGATTACATTTAATTGAAATGAAATCTTGACGAATTGTTTTACAACAAACTGTCATTGTGCTATTGGCCTCACGGCCACACATACGAAATAAATCTGTCTGATACTCTATCCATAAGACAATGGAGGCGGTCTAGCCCACTTTATTTCCGAGCAAGGTATTTACAAATGCAATGGTGTATGATGACAATTCTAGCAGGCTTGATCATCACACATGTATTGTGCTTGCAAAACATGATGCTTATTTATGCCATGTAACCTGGATAACTTCCTTCAATTGTTAGTTTGTTTTGGTTTGGTTTTGCGTATTTTCTTTATTTGCTTATAATAAACAAAGACACTTATTTGTCTTTTTTACAGGGAAAGTGTATATTTAGATGAGGATAGTGAATATAGTTTGTGATTCGTTCTGATTATGATACACGCTGCACTGGTATGGCACAGTCTGTGTGACTTCACTACGTTTGGATAAGCACCTTTTTCTACCTGTATACATATTCAGATATATACCCATAAAGGAACAATCGGACCCAATTGCCTCGAACTCCTGGGGACCAAAGAAATAGTTCGGCTTCTCCGAAATATTTGAATTCGACCTGGATCTTGATTAGTTCTACCTTTTAACTTTGGGGACTATAAATTGAACTCAAAACACCCATGTCGAGCATTCATGTAACAATAATAGAAAACGGTTCAAACTATATTGCCAAATCATTAAATCAGCGCAAAATACAAATGAATAAAAAACAACTTCTATTGTAAAACATAATTGTAGGTCTACAGTCACAAAGGGGTTATACAATGGGTCAACTATGGGCAATACATAACAGGCTATTTAACTAATGCAGTACTAACAAGAGTTATATGATAATAAAAGTATATTAATTACACCATGAATGTTAGTAGAATAATGCTTCCAACATCATTCGCTCCTTAGATACGTTTTCAGATACAATGTTTGTAATAGAAACGATATCTTACTGGGATTCGTTCAGTGATCTATCACATGATATGTCACATTAGAATATGTCACATATCATGGTTTTCCCAATGGCTATATAGTCTGTATTTGTTCAAGGGACACAGCTCAAAGAATTCTATTTGATTTTAGCATTTTCATGTTTGCCAAGAAATCATGGAAAATAATTGGATAAATTGCTTTGAAACAAAACAATCATCATATTCCTGAATATGAGAAACATACTTTAAAGTCTATATTGCATGTACAACAGGTTACATGGCTTCGTATTGGGAGTGAAACTTCACAACTCTGACACTGGAAATGGTGCAGAAACATATCAAAGTGACAATACCGACTTTGAAAGAAAGACACCCACGTGTTCCTGCAAGTACATATTTTACACAGCGACATGTAGCTGCAAACATTCATTGTGTACGTCAATCTGTATTCACTCCCACTAATTTCAACAAAACACTTTGCTTTAAGAAAGTTCGGAACACACTGAAATCTGCATATGTCCAGTTATAAACATTTGTAAGAAACTGTTATGTAATCTTCTAAACATTAATGTTAGACATGTTCCTAGAATTTGTAACGTACAATGGGTTTTTTATGGAATCGAGATGCATACCGAAACGCCAAAACTACATCGACACAAATCACTCCCACTACTTTCAACATAACACAGGGGTACGGGTGGCCAAGTCGTCTAAGGCGCCGCGATTTGCTGTGTAGAGTTGCGTCCCTTTGGCACGCAAGAGACCTATGATTGTGGGTTCGAATCCAGGTTCGCCCAGATTATGTATCTAGGTTTGTCAGCACCCTATCCGTGCTCTTGGGTTTCACCGAAGTGGTAAACGTCTGAGACCTGCATCACTTCGGGCTTTCCTCCCATATTAAACTGTCACGCCATGATATAACTGGAAAACTGTTAAAAGCAGCGTTAAATCCAACTCACACACTCACTCGATTCAACTTAACACAATGCCCCAGGAACTTCGGTACACGCTGAAATGTGCATATGTCCAGTTAGGAACATTTGAAAGAATCTATTATGTAATCCTCTAAGCAACATAAATGATGTTTTCGTCATGAAGTTAGCTATGGTCCTAGCCTTTGTAGAGTAAAATGTTTTTGTTTTTTTGTGGAATTGATATGCTTACCGAAACATCAATGCTACATCGACACAAATGACAAATAACACGTTTGTTTCTGCAAACCAAATTCGGACGACTGACCCCTAATGGAGGTTGTAAAACTGTATATGTATACTGTAACACTGGACACCATAATAACAATGATAACTCCTTTCTAGACCACTTTTAGAGCTGCTGCAGCTCTATCTTTTCCCCAGACTCAGTGTAGTGAATGATGACATTCTCAGAATTACTAGTGGTATCTGAACTAGGCAATGTGTCACCAACTACTGGAGCATGGACATAGGTGGGAACATGACTTCAGTTTCCATATATGGTTTCTGATCTTTGATTGGGTGAACGTATCTCCAAGCGTGCAGGATCTGTAAGGAGGTTGTTAAGATTTCCGTGTATATGATATGGTTGGGATGACTTCAAGGCGATGTATCTCTCTTCCATAACACTTTGTCTGTCTGTGGAAACTGCCTGTCCCAGTTGGCCCGGAACATACACCCCTGGCAATTCTACTGATGTCTGGTTCACGGGGCACGTTGATGTTAGTGGTGTGGATGTAAGCCAACCGCCATTGTTATAGCTTCCGTGTGGAATTGACGATGATTTCATAAGAAACTGGCCATCGGTTGTCACCCTGAAACAATATCACATGCACTTGACACAGTAATTCAGAGAAAATAGGACTTAATCAAAATAATGATGCTATTGTGACATATAATACAAAATCAAGATGTAAAAGCCTCCAGCGAAATCATTCAATAGTATACACAGTGAAGCCTAATTAAGTTCAAATATTGGTTAACATAATTTCAGTGTTTTGGCAAAGTCCCCATTGACATATGTAGTCCATGGAGAATAAGGTTACACTTGGAACAAATAGCAATAGAGTTCATTTCACCACAATGCATGTCTACAAGGTCCCCAAAACAACATACTTAAAGTCCCAAGCAATCCCAGTTTGGGAAATGTGTCTAATTTACATAATCCAATATGGCAACCAACTGTCAATAGTATTTTCCACATTTCAGATGAGGTTCAATGTTTTGATGAAAAACAGCATGTGTTCTGTTGCAAAATAGTCATATTATGGTTTTAAAATGATATTCACAACTATTGATCGTTTTCGACTATTGACAAATCTATAAAACATCAAGATGGCCGGCAATTTCAAGAAGGCCGACACATTTCCTAAATATGAGTTTAGACTGTTGAAGCTTTTATATCTGAAACAGTGTGCTTGAACGTATGTGCATAAAACTTGTCACACTAACTGACTGGCCAAAAAATCCAAGATGACCTCCAAGACATGGACAGACATTCAATATCAATACACTGTTGGTCTCTCATGACATATTTGATTGATTGATTTTGGACTTTTAGAATGTTGTTTGGGGGGCCTTGTAGAAATGCTCTGTCTATATTCTTAGATAAATGATAGATATTTTGATAAATGTCTGATGGTACTGTCCTCTTCGAGGTCTCATATGCTTCGTGGGGTTTCAAAACTGTTCTGCAAAACAGCATATACAATATATGGGTTTGGGTTGTCAACTAAAGCATCATTTCCACATTGCTCTTACCTATCTGTAATTGTACCATGGTTGGTTGTCAGGTCATGTATATTTGTTGCCTCAGTTATAATCCTTGCAATATCATCGTGATGTTGTGCCTCTGCTTTTTGTAAAGCAGTTTCTTCTTTATCGTCTTTCTCATAAACATTTGCCTTGTTCTGTATTAACACCTCCACAACCTTCCTATGTCCCTGCCAGGCTGCATCATGTAGAGGTGTGTGCCCATCTTGACGTTTCTCATCCACATTTGCCTTGTTCTGTAATAACACCTCCACAACCACCCTATGTCCCTGCCAGGCTGCACGATGTAGAGGTGTGCGGCCTTTCTTATCTTTCTCATCCACATTTGCCTTGTTCTGTAATAATACCTCCACAACCTCCCTATCTCCCTGCCAGGATGCATCATGTAGAGGTGTGCGGCCATCTTTGCGTTTCTCATGCACATTTGCCTTGTTCTGTAATAACACCTCCACAAACTTCCTATGTCCCTGCCAGGCTGCATCATGTAGAGGTGTGCTGCCATCTTGACGTTTCTCATCCACATTTGCCTTGTTCTGTATTAACACCTCCATAACCTCCCTATGTCCCTGCCAGGATGCATCATGTAGAGGTGTGCGGCCTTCCTTATCTTTCTCATCCACATTTGCCTTGTTCTGTATTAACACCTCCATAACCTCCCTATGTCCCTGCCAGGCTGCATCATGTAGAGGTGTGCGGCCTTCCTTATCTTTCTCATCCACATTTGCCTTGTTCTGTATTAACACCTCCATAACCTCCCTATGTCCCTGCCAGGATGCATCATGTAGAGGTGTGCGGCCTTCCTTATCTTTCTCATCCACATTTGCCTTGTTCTGTATTAACACCTCCATAACCTCCCTATGTCCCTGCCAGGATGCATCATGTAGAGGTGTGCGGCCTTCCTTATCTTTCTCATCCACATTTGCCTTGTTCTGTAATAACACCTCCACAACCACCCTATGTCCCTGATGGGCTGCAAGATGCAGAGGTGTGCTGCCTTCCTTATCTTTCTCATCCACATTTGCCTTGTTCTGTATTAACACCTCCACAACCACCCTATGTCCCTGATGGGCTGCAAGATGCAGAGGTGTGCTGCCATCTTCACGTTTCTCATCCACATTTGCCTTGTTCTGTATTAACACCTCCACAACCTCCCTATGTCCCTGCCAGGATGCATCATGTAGAGGTGTGCAGCCTTCCTTATCTTTCTCATCCACATTTGCCTTGTTCTGTAATAACACCTCCACAACCACCCGATGTCCCTGATGGGCTGCAAGATGCAGAGGTGTGCTGCCATCTTGACGTTTCTCATCCACATTTGCCTTGTTCTGTATTAACACCTCCACAACCTCCCTATGTCCCTGCCAGGATGCATCATGTAGAGGTGTGCGGCCTTCCTTATCTTTCTCATAAACATTTGCCTTGTTCTGTAATAACACCTCCACAACCTCCCTGTGCCCCTGCCAGGCTGCATCATGTAGAGGTGTGCGGCCAGCATTATCTTTCACATGAATTATTCCCTTGTTCTGTAATAACATTGTAACAACTTCTGCGTTTCCATATATACATGCCAAATGAAGCCCAGTTTCACCCTTCTTGTTTTGCTCACCAATGTCCACTACTTCCTGTAACAGATAGCTTACAATGCTAACAATTCCAACTGCACATGCGTAATGTAAAGGTGTTGTTCCTTCAGGGCCTTTTATATTGACATTCAGTTTTCCAATTTTTGTAATTGTATCCATGGTATCTTTGCCCTTTTGGCACAAGGATGCAAAATGTACATATGTATTCTTTCTTGACCTGTTTTTCTTCTTGCTCATCTTGATCAAATGTGACAATCTGGAAGCCACTGCAGACAACCCACTCATACAGGCAATGTCCAAAATTGAACATTTACCAAACTTTACTTCCAAACAAAGCTTCCTTTCTGCTCTCTGCATTCAATTGAACACTGAACAATGCTCTCCTCAACAAATGTGAGTTGTCTGTGATGCTCGCCCAAAACAGAAAGGAATATCCATGTACAATGTCATTATTTGACAATACTTTCAACAGTACAGAACTGTCCTTGTTCATATTATGCAACAATTTCTCCCAAACCATATCAACAAATGTCTCTACCTGGAATAGGGAATGCATGCACACAAAGGCAAACTGTCTGCCGTGTAAAGCTGTAGCAAACCGCTTCGCTACAATATGCAGATCATCATGTTTCAATTCGAGGTTGAAAGACACATTTAGTTGTTCCTCTTCAGTTGGATCATCTCTAAATGTCACATAACGAAATATGAACTCGATATCCATCCTTTCAACCAACTGCCTAACATCACGTAGCAGAATTTCTCTAAGCTTTATTGCTACTTCATGATTTCTTATTCTATATGAGCCTGCTTCATGATGGAGACAGCATCCCGTCAATTGGGATAAAATAGGTTTCATCATATTTTCAGTGTATTCTTCTTCATTGATGTCAAAAGCCTTAAGTGCCCAAACAATATATTTTTTGTAGGTTTCTCTTTCCACGCGAGTCCCTGTGTTAGACCCTGCCCATAGCATCCTCTCCTCCAGGTTATTCTCCGCCAAAGCAACCACTAACAAGCACGCCATCTTCTGCTTATGCAACAGGTGCTGATCCAAACATGGGTAGTCATCAGTATCTGTAAAAACAAATACCGTTTGTATGAAAGGAGTATACACCATTGCACATGTAGATCTAAAGTATAATACCTTGCGTAACGCCTTACAATTACGTAACAAAGTAATGATCTCCAGAATGCATACTTTCATCACTGGCGATAGCACAGTCGGTTCCTTCATGTGTTTCATGTCCATCCTCTTCATGAATATTTGGACCTCCTTGTTCTGTTGTCATTGTACAGCTATTTTCCAGTACATCTCTTGTCTCCAGCGTTACAGTTTGAATTTCGTTTGGGACATTACCCTGTCCATCAACTGCCATCATGTGATTTCCTCCACCTTGCATATCTCCCTTGTCCTTGGCATACTGTAGTATCCTCTGAAGCACATACAGCCTGTATTTCTCAATGTGACAGTTCCTCATGATGCCTGGAGACTTCTCCGCCAAAATTGCATCAGCAGCCTGAGAATATGAAGGTTAGAAATGAAAAGGTATCGTTCATACGTGGTTATTGAGACACATGTTGCCTTTCATATCAAAAACATAGCTTCAAACCAACCTACCATCAGAACGAATATTCCACAGCTGTGTCCATCTGACTGTTCTATCACTGGGTACTGTTTCATCATCCATGACTTGCTCCTTTCCTTAGACGTAGATTTCAAGTGGTTTAGAAAAAGCCTGAGGAATACAAGTATATTACTCGATGGCGATAACATCTTCAACTCATGTGGACTGGTGTTAAAGTAAAGGTAGAGCAGAAGGTTAATACAGCAGTGCCTAAAATATCCGGTCCTGGCATTTCTGATGTTCTCTCCTGCTTTGTCCATAATTAGGTTTTATGTTAGCAAATACAGATGTTATGGTTTAAATGAATGAGTGACATAACTGTATTGATGGCGTTTAAATCATTCACACAGTGTACCCATTTGGGGAACTGGGTAACCCTGTGAACAAGTTGTTCTATATCTTCTACCCAAAAGTAAAAGCTACAAATGTGGGTGTATCGAACATTTTTCGATGGATCTTATTTATATTCATGTTTGTTTTTGAGAAATCAACATTTCAACATTTCAAATTGGATAGCTTGGTTTTAACATTTATAATGTGCAGCCACACGTCCTCTTTTTTTTGTATCTACCTCTAGTGTTGTACAAATGGGTGTTCTACATATAAGGCGGGTTTAGAATTGACCACGCCCACTGTTCTGTCCACCTACCTCCAGTGTTGTACAACCTTGTCCTCAACATCTAAGGAGGGTTTAGAATTAACCACGCCCACTGTTCCATCCTTGACATTAGCCACCAGTAGCACCCAATGTTGATTACGTGGCATGTTCACTGGCATTAAGATCCACGTGTAGTTTGTCAAATTTTCCTGAAAGTTCACAACAAATGCCTTTCCGGTGTACGATCAATATATCCAGAAACACGTGCTTCACATAAGATGGATATGATGCAGTAACAGAGATATTAGTGAATTGGTATCATGAACTTGGAACTAAGAAATTCTAAAGACCCCTCTCTGACAACCAGATTTTCAATTCATAAAATAATATGTAGCAAGACGAATATGTTCATGTGCAATATCTGCTTTTGTAACTGCATATTGAAAACGAATAGCATTATGATCAATGGGGTTACTGGCTTTGACTCAATTGAAACCCATTGCAGCATATGGTCGCTTCGTGCGCACAATTGCAAGTGACAACTTCTAGCATACTGAATACGCAATCATGGCATAGACGAATCATATGTTATCACAAAAAATATACAATTACTGCAAAATATCTTTCGAGTCTTGCCCATGTTCATGGTAGGGTGGACATGCAATGGTACACTCGGAATGACAGAATTATAAGAAATATAAAAATCTCACGTCACTCACATCTTTCCCCCTTATCCTGTCTGTGTAGTGTCCTGCCTCCCAAAGTATGATTGTCTCTGTAGGCAGCACCAGGCAGTGGAAGCTGACACGGGAACACCACTCTCCCTCCAGGAGGTGCAGGTATGTGTCCATGATCTGGACAGGTAAGAGTTCATTTATTAGAATATTTATTATACTGTTTAATCCTCCAATGCTTTCGCTTCAAAAGGAACGCTTGTAATTTCAAATCAAAACAGGATCCGCTGCACATCACATATCCATCATGAAGAGAATATCTCGGCTGTTAGCATTGACTGACAATTTGACTGGTGATGTACTAGATTTTGTGAACAATGCCCATTGCAGGTGAGTAGTGCCATCATTGCAGAATCGAGATGCATGGCAATGAGTTGATAATTAGCACCATTATATGAATTGATAGTTAACTAATACTGGTGTAAAAAGAAGAAACCGCCAAAAGTTGCTGTATTAATCTTAAGATGGGGTATCAGTGGTCCAAGGCGCCGCATTTCGCTATGCAGATTCACCATGGGAATCAACAAAGTGGTTAACGTCAAAGATGTGCATTACTTTCTTCATAATTTAATCCAACGCACCATGACACTACTGTCAAAAAGAGGCGTTTAATCAAACTCAAGCTCTAGCTCGCCTACCTCAAGGCACTATCAATGAGTATTAGGTGACTGAAACACTCACCACCCTCACGCCCCCAGTTTATATTTAATACTAACATCATTTGATGAAATCGAAAGCCTCCCATGCTCTATGAAATGATTTTCTTGGATGGTTAACTAGGCATGTAGTTTGTGTGATTGTGTAAATATTGCAGGTGGACTACTTACTTCATCTGTCAGCCACTCGTTGGTTTCCAGGCGAGACAGAACATCTCCTCTGATGGTGTAGCAGCCAACTGTGTATGTACAGTCACGTGACAGGGGGACGTCCTCTTGTACATGCTTCAGGTGTGAAGGAGGATCCTTCAGTGTTTTCACAAAGTCCTGTACTTCAGTCCTGGTATGGCATGCTCCAACAAGCACTGCTGCGATGAGGTTTATGTAAACTGACTGGTCTTGGTTCAAGCTCAGCACGTCAGTATTTACAGAACATTTAACCCAGTTCCTTGCTTTAATTACATCTACATTCCAGTTCTTGTCGACCTCTTCAATGAGTGACAAGCACGGATTGTCTTTGTTGGTACAGTCCTTGTTCCAGAACCTTGTTAAAGATAAAACCTGTTGCACGACCCTTATCACATCACGATTTCTTTCTACGCCTTCAAGAAATGTGTACAGATAAGTGTAGGGTGTGTTAGTGACACAGGTTACAATTGTGTTCTCATTGTCAACTTGAGACTGCAAACGAAGTTTCTTGACAGGGGAGCCTGACGTTGTAGCAAAATATTCAATGTCATCATCACTTGTGTGATCTCCTGTCCTGCAGCGTTTTTGATTTGTGTCTTGATCATTCTTTGTTTCAGTCTCTGACACCTTTGCTTTATTCAATGTTACACATAGAATAGTGTTTGATTTACCGTTGTCTTCCAATTCTGTCGGTGATGAATGATCTTCAGGGTCCAGGTTGGAGTTAGTGTTCTCCGTGACACCTGACTGCACAGCTCCACCAGTTGATTCTACTTTCCTACATTTACTGTCACCTGGGGAATGAAGTGTCTGTTGACCACGCTTCTTTCGTTGAGGAGCAGGCTGTGCTTGTGTGTGGTCCCCGATATATTGCACTAGAACGTGTTTCAGAGGCTGGTTGTACAGATACGAAGCTTCTTTGACAAAGGCCCTTGTTGTCGTCTTGTCCTCGGTGTAAGCCTTGTGGTACTGCTTCAATATGACTGGACTTGAGCCAGGCTGCTTCCGAGTTCCATCACTTCTGAAGTGATATTTGTCATCCTTCCAGATATCTGCAAATAGAAATTAACATCATAACATTGCAAACAATGTTGTAATCCTGAAGATGAACTATCCCTGAAAATTCTTTGTGTGTTAGTGTGTCACCTGTGATGTAGATGTTAATTAATAAAACTGTGAACAGTCAATAGTGTAACATAACTCTAAAATCAACCCACCTCAATGCCAAATTAGCTGTAAGGTCATGCATAAATATGTCGTATTAGAGGTTGTGATGATGAATACCATGTCCTTTTTTTCCCTCCCTGAGATGCAACACGATACTTGATTCTTGTTTAGCCCATATTGATTAATCTAACAATAGATTTTCTACAAGTTGACATCAAACAATGTTCATTATTTAAGTACACAATTTTTGTAAAGGTGATGGAAAGAGTGAAAAGAAAAACATAGATAGAAAATATTGCATAAGAAGTCGTTTTAATAATGATACAGACAAATAAACTTAATTCATGCAGTGACTTACTGCACGACAATCACTTGTCAACAATATTAGCAAACATAAAACCGGTTATCACAGGGCTGTAAAAGGAAGCTGATACCAGGGCAGGGTGACCCCGACGTGTATATTAATGTGGCTTTGAGGACATTGATCATGTGTGCTTAACAAACCCTTTGAATTCAAATTGTGTAATAAATAATATCAGCTTTCCATGAAATATTAACATTCTTCATATGTATTCATCCCTGACTCGTGGTAATATTAAGCCTGAACACAACTGCCTCACCTTCTCTCATTCCCGAGGTTATCTTATAGAGGTACACCACCTTATAGAGGTACACCATGGGAGGGAAGATCCTAAGGGCCGAAGGCCCGCAGGATCTTTCCGACCGGGCGGGTTTACATTTTCAACCAAAACCGAGGATAAGTGTTTTATCTGACTTATAAACCAACAAAGTTAATTCTAATTGAGATACGCAATAACGAGGATTTTATATGCGATATAACGAGACTATAAACGCATCCGTGAGCTTTGTTGTGTGACGACTACTGGTGTCATGCACGCACGCATTGCCCGTGAGCGTCTCCGTCATAATGTGGACAGCTTACAGTCGAGTTTCATTTAGTGGCAAGATGTGGGAAAGAGAGGAAGGTGACGATTTATTCTCACACAAACGAAAACTAAAAATGCCGACCTACACCGTTTCTGCGCTGCCGCAGGAAGTTGGGCCTGCAAAGAATATCATTGTAAATGCCAACTTCAATTAAAGTACAGGAAATCTAGAATTGCGGTTTTTTTTAAAAAAAACATTAAAGGGTATTGAAGTCCTGGGGACTTACTGTGGAAGACCCAGCGACTAGATCTGAAATATGTAACTTTTTATAACGATGAAAATCAAGTCCCCGGGTCTTCCACAGTAAGTCCCGGGTTTTCTACACAAGTAAAACCTCATGTGGGTCTTTCTCAAGTCTGAAGAAACCTAATGATCAATACAAATGAACACTCTGAGGTTTATAAAATCGGTTGTTCACTTGAACCTGTAGATGACAAAAGGTTATGTGCTGAACTACACCCAAGCATGAATATTCATTAGGTACCCTGTATTTGTCTACGTATCAGTGTTGGTCTTGTTATAACGCCTCAGGGCTTCATAAACGTCTCTCCTTGTACCACAGGGGACGTTCTGTTATTGGTTTGTTGTTCTGTGTGTGGCTTGCGGGGAAAAATAAAGCGAGTCTGCCCAGAGAGCGGAAAATAGGTGGTTCGAGCCCCCTTCGAATTTGTTATTACCCTGCCTTATTTCTATAGTACACTGTGTGACCATATTTCAAGATGAGCATTGTACATGTCCGCGTAACAATCCAAAAAAGCGTCAGTCTTCGTGATCAGGTGAATATACTTAATATACATACTTTATTGTGGTTTCAAATCAGGTCTTGATCAAAATATAACAAAATATTACAAATTACAATATTGTTGTCTAGCGACATGAGTAGAGAAATGTTACTCAGTTAGAAACCTATTGTTTTCAAAGGTTTCTGATGTTGTAACAATGACCTCTGTTGATCTTTATTGCCTGGTTGAGTGAGTGAGTATGGTTTTTCGCCGCTTTTAGCCATATTCCAGGAATATCACGGCGGGGGACACCAGAAATTGGCTTCACACATTGTACCCATGTCAGTAATCGAACCCGGGTCTTCGGCGTGACGAGCGAACGCTTTTACCACTAGGCTACCCGACCGCCCCCTGACAAAATGAACTCCACGTCACCGAGAAATGTGTTTTTACAATTTTCATAATCACCTGTGCCCCAACTTACACAGATATTCATACTTTATAATAATGTCTCCCTCCACTGAAGTATCCCAACATTGTCATTGTTCTAATGTTGAAATTTGGTGGATCTGAGTTTGCTTACTTGAAAAACATTGTATCAACATTGTTTCAACTCCATTCGCTATTGATATCATCCATAACAATTTTGTCTTAGATATTAAAATTGTTTCAATCTGACTTTCAAAAATGAAAAGTAAACTAAAAATCAATATTTCATCAAAAATTTCACAGGTTGTTTATGAAATATGTGTTTTTGTTGTTAATTGGAGTCAATATATTTAGACTTCAGACGTTTTAGACGATAATGATTAAGTAAGAGTCGGAAGGTAAAGTTGAATGAAGTAAAGGCAAATTTTGACCGCCTCCGTGGTCTAGAGGTAGAGCGTCCGCCCGGAGAGCGGAACGTCCGGGGTTCGATCCCTGGCCGCGTCATACCAAAAGACGTTAAAAGATGGTACTTGTTGTTACCCAGTCTGGCGCTCGACATTAAGGGGCTAAAACAAGGACTGGTCGGTTCGGAGTCAGTATACTGTGTCTGAGTGGGGTATTCATGTTGAACTGCGGCATGGTATCTCAGTGAGCTAGCACTATAAATAGGCATCAGTCAGGACAAGTACAAGCAGCCACACATACACACGTACATGCACGTCGCTATATAAGTGCAATAATCTTGGACGCAACGTTAAACCCAATTTCACCTCACCTCAAGGCAAATTACCAGATGATTCTGTACCCAGATTCTTCAAGACAAGACATGTGCCATGTCCGCTCCAGGAGGATGTTGAAGCTGATCTGGGTAGACTTTGAGCAGTCTGGTATCATATACAAACTTTGATCTCAGTGATTTGGACGCACCCATCGTTCCCATCGTTAAAACATGACCAGGTCAGACAATGTGGATACTTTAAGATCACTGTGAACCCAGTGCTGCTGACGCATTCAATGCGAAAGGTAGACGTTATTTCACGAAGATAGACCTGTAGGGAATGGAAATTGGGTTTAAGGTCACGTCGAAGATTAGTACACTTATATAGCGACGTGCACGGACCTTCCGCTCTCTGTGTGGATGCTCTATCACTTGACCACAGAGGCGGGCTAGTGATAGAGCCGTGTGGCAGAAGTATTGTTTCAATGCAGCGTTAGGTGAGTAGAAAGTTATACAGATACAGCAGGGCATGTTTACCCTTTCGTGAGGACCTGGTGTCATACCTGATTGATTGTGTCTCTGATCATATGAACAATTTTGCATTTACGCGCTGAGGAACCTGTTTCGGCACATAAGAGAGACTGTTATTATCTGGCTTAGACGATTTGAATTAAAAGGTAAGTGGGTAAATAGCGGCGGGTGACAGGGTTGACAGGGTTGACCAGATTGATGTAGATCTCGTTCGTTCGTTCGTTTGTTGTTTAACGCCACACTCAGCAATATTCCAGCTTTATAACGGCGGTCTGTAAACAATCGCGTTATGTAGCCAAGTATCTACGTAGTTTACACTTGGGAAACTCTAAAACGTTGAAATAGCGAGTAGCCATACTGGAATCAATGAGTTTCCTGGACATAATATGCAGCAGTAGTATCTTAGCTGAACCCTAAACAGTATTGTAATCAATTATTTTCTTGTGGATGTTTACTTCTTTGAGTCAGTTGTTAAATGTCATTTTCAACTTCCCACACACAATGACATGCAGCCCTTAACACTCTAAGGATATTTTCGCCCACTAAATGATATTATGAAATAAATTAAATGCCATGTGCAGAAGCTGTTAATATTGTCAGTTACACTTCCCCGGGAAGGATACTGCATGCACACTGCTGTCACATACATTAACCAAACAACATAGCTGCCGTAAAGGTTCAGCTTAATATTGTCCACAAATGACGCCTTTACATTGTGTATGGCTTCGCAGGCCCCGTTTCCCTGAGCGATCTTAGCGCTCCGACTGTCGTAGGTCTATGCTAAAGTGTGTGAGTTACGGTCGCCCTGGTCCTGGTGCTACGATCGCTTTGTATGAATGACAGGTGCTACCGGTAGGACAGGACATGCTTACCCTTTCCTCGAACACCTGCTGTCATCATTGATTTTCAGTGGTACATTCATATATTTATTTATTCTCGTGCATTGACAATTATATATTGTGGAACGGAACCCTACCTTCGATCTTAACCTCAATCGGTGTCATAGTGTACGAAAACCACTTGAGTGTGACATCATAACTCCAACGAACCTTTTGCCAGTCACTGCTACAATGTATATACGCCGGTATGTGCATCCATGTAGTGACATATATTTATAGCCTTGCAAGGTTGACGTTTGTCGCATTTTCGGACCTAGATCGGTTCAAACACTGTACCGTGGTTGTCAAAGGGGCATGTGCAGTTCGTGATCAGGTGTTACGTATTAGTTTCATCAAGGAACGGCTGTAAGCCAAATCCTAATAGAGCTTTGACTGCTCCAAATTAACTACCGACTGTTGAGTATGTTTGCATTGAAAAAAAGCACCTTATTTATTCTGTATTAGAATAGTATCGTTATGCGTACGGGTGTGTTTTTCCTCATTATCTTATTTGATACATTTCCATCATAAATTTATTCCTGATTTCAAATACAAACTTTTGAAAAATGTGCCATGGCCTGTAATGTAATCCCCACTAAACTTCCTTTACATGAAGGGCGATAACACAGCAAGACACCATACACTGGGCTCGCATATATCTATTACACAGCGCTAGGCTGAAAAGACTGCCAGGTCACATCACCACAAGCTCTAATGACTCTTACATCATTTGAGGCCTACATTCTGTGTATTGGAAACTCAAGTTTGACACTATGTGTACACTATTGGTTCGATCGTATTAGTTGTGCGACAGGGACTATCCCTATTTATGGGCCGCTATTTATAGACAGGCGGACGATATATCTCCTGGCGAAGTCAAGTGTGTAGTGAATGAATATGTCAATACCTGACCCAGTTCTGTCGGATTTTTCGGAGGATAAGAAACGTGTGCTGAGAACAACAGGCAAATGATTTCATGAGTTGATGAAAGCAACACGCTCAAAGTAAACAAATAGATCCTTTAATAAAACAAATATATTATTAATTATAGAAAATAAGTGCCAATATCATACCATATCCGGACGCCCCTTTACCTACACGTACACTCTGGGCTACCCACCGCCCTAGTATCAATGCACACGATGTGCATACTGATGATTCAACTCAAACCAGCGTGTCGTTTAATGCACCTGGACTAGAAAGCAGGCCCAGTGATGGAAACAGGTATTCACACTGCTATTTCACCAACACACAGCCCAAGATTGGAACGGCTTATGAAATCCGAAAATCCGCAGCAGCATGGCAGCATGGGTAATATTGTTTCATACTGGATAAGATTCAGGTATCCGGTAAGTCAATATTCCCTTCGCCTATTTTCCCAACAATTAATGAATGTCAGCGTGACACTGTTCATCATTGTATATGCGCGTCCTCGTGTGTACACGTGCAATTGCGACTTTATGTTTATTTATGTATACTAGTCTATGTAACATTACCCTACTTCTTGTGACGCCTGTCACAGTTCTCAAACGTGGTTTAAAACAGGTTTAAAGTTTACAATATGCGGGATCCAAGCGTCACCAGGAATATGCCTCATTGTGTTCATTTTGATTCCAGAAAATGTCCAAGACAGACGACCACATAACCTGCCATTATAACCATCAGCTTGAACTGAGAGGTACGTTCAGTCGCATTTATCGTTTTACTAAATGTAAGATATCGATTGTTCGTCACGTTATGCTTTATCAGATGCAAGCTTGACATTATTCCCATTGTCTGTGCATCCACCCAAACGTTTTCTTTTTACGTTGTGGTACATTAACAATATCTCTTTGGTTTTTGAGTGATTTTAATCTTAAGATAAGTTAAAATAACGTAGAATATTGATAGGGAATTTAAACATTGACAGTAAATATACAACACAAACACCCACCCACCCACACACACACACACACACACACACACACACACACACACACAAACGCAAACACACACACACATACACATACACATACACACACAAACACACACACATACATACATACACAAACACAAACACACATACACACACACACACACACACATGCATTCATGCACACACACATACACATGTGAAGTACATGCTTATTGGGAATGGTTCTTGTAGGTACAACACCCTGGAACTAAGCATATGCTGTGAATGAAGAGAGGCTGAATATCCCTGTATCTGAAAGAGATCTCAGCCTTGTTGCAAGTCACATTGGGATCGGGTTTGAGTGTGTCGGCATCGAACTTGGACTTACTCTCGTGGTTATCGAACAAGTCTCGTTTGCACACCCAAATTCACTGTACATGCAGGTTGTACACATGCTTACGAAGAGGATGGAGAAGAATGGAAGATCTGCCACCAGCCTGGTCCTCGTCAGAGCACTGTGGAGATGCAACGAGAAATGTACGATTGAGTGGGAGGACATTCTGAACATTCTTCAGGGACCGTCCACTAAGTCAGGTTAATAAAGTGCTGCTCTGAACAACCTTCTCAAGTACAGTTATCACTGATTTATTCATTGGGAGGATATTCTCAACATCCTTCAGGTACTAACATCTATTTCTGCGTAGCCATGCACCTGCACATTTAGATTGTGCAAAACAATCCCTTTGAAATATCGAGTCGCGATACTAGATTCACCATGACTGAACCGGATGATGTTTTTCCTCGTGCAAGTTGCGCACTAAACACTCATCATATGTACAGTTATCATTAATTTGCCGTATATAATACATTGTGATTGTATTTGTATGTTAATAAACTGCTATGATGTCCTTTGTAAGAACTGGTCATTCTGCCTCTTGTGATATTCGCGGAACAGTGACCGAGGGATAACAAGCTGTGCTCTAAACGTCATCCGTAGTCCGAAAATCCGGGAACATAATTGCCTCTCACATAACAAATGTCCCGACTGTATTAAGGATTGAAAATTCAAAATTATTTTTAGAATGTAATTTCAAGGGTACTGTCTATCTGTTGACTCTGATTTTGAACACTATTACTAGGTTTGCCGGTTGTAGAATCGTTTTTGATTCATTAAGGACGCCATTATTTTCTGACTTTATACATTAGCTCTATTCTATTTGTAAGGTCATGGGCTGTAGTAGTTTTCAGGAATGATGACAGGTTATGACAGGTCGTCTTGTGCAGCCTCTGTGGTGTGTGATCACATCTATAGAGAGATGTGCATCGTCAATGCAGCATGGGCTGAGATATATATAGACATAAACATTCAGCAGGTCGTAAAGAAAGGTTTGTTTTACTCATTCTTCATAATATCTGTTTTGAAGATTCTATGAATGCATTTTCTTCTGAAACTTTCTGGTAGTTTTTTTAAATCTGTTTGACAATATAGTTCGGTAACTGAGTTAGGTTAATTCGAAACATGATATATCAATAAAATACAAAAGTGTTCGTGAAATCAGAAGTCAAACCAACTCCTTCAAACTCCCTCAGCTGAGAATCCCTGGGTAACAACATCTATGTTCTGCTTGTGAGGCCATCGGGTCTGAAATTGCCTTTCAAATGATTTGCGAAACGTTGAATCATATATAGATTTCTGCAGGCTTCTTTGGAATTGGTCAGGCTCCATATAGAAATGCTCTATTTGTAAAGCTGATACATGATTGTCCCCTGTGGTTTCCTGTATTTCTCTTTAACTGTTTTACTGTAATATGTTTTAGCTTCCCATGCACATGTTATCATTTCAGTTATTTTTTTCTCTTAAACTGTTTTGTCGCAATAACAGCTCTCGGGAACTAATATTATATTCTACATCTAATTACAGCCGTGAATAACATTTTGTGCATCTTGTATTTGTCATATAGGTTCAGCACACTGTGAAAACGGAAAACTCAAGACTCCAGTGACGAGACGAGATCTCGGCGTTGTTGCGACACATATCGGGATCGGCTTTGAGCATGTTGGGATTGAACTTGGGCTCATCGTTGTGGCTATCCAACAGGGTAGAGTTGAACACCCATGTTCAATGTATAAATATGCAGATCTTGATTATGCTCACTAAATGGAAGCAGTGGAATGGCAGTTCGGCCACCTACCTTGACCTGGTCAAAGCACTCTGGACATGTAAAGAGAGATGCACGATCGAAAAGGAGGACATTCTCAACATCCTGCAGTCACTGCAATCTCAGTAATAATAAACATTCAATGGAGCATCAACTGATTTTGTGGTGGAATCACGATATTTTGATATCGATATCACCCCTCCTGTACAGCAATCAGATGTGTCGAGGTAAAAGTGGCTATGTGATTTGCCTTCATGTATAGCAAATATATATAGTTATCACACCTATCGGGGGATTTCTCCGCTCCCTGTCTGGCCTGTGTAATAATATGAAATAATAAATTGGGAATGCTTTAGATTCCATTTGATCTGTGAAATATCTCTCATATATATATACAAAGAATAATGAAAGATCGTACTCTTTTGTTTTATCATATTTCAGTTAACTTCAATTGGAAGGAACATACACTACAGTGATGAGCTCGGTAATGCGAACAACAATGAAGTCTATATTTGTCACATAACCAACACTTCATTTCAACGACTCAAGATGGTGACTTAGTAGTCTGGTGCGTTGCAAATAGCTGTACATAATCAGCGTGACGAAATCCTATGATTGAGGGATCGAATCCCAGATTTGTGCTAATTATGATTTTTGTTTTGTCAGGAACATACCAATGATCGGATGTTCCGCCAAAGTGGTAAAAGTAAATGATCTGCGCTTCATTTTTCCTCCAAGTTAAGTTGACACTGCATAAAATAACACATACTTATGATAAAGTCAGATATAAAAAATCTGCTTTTCCAATTATTCTCTGTTCTGTTCCATCATATCTCCATTTCAGAATGTTGATATATGATTGGTCCACGTGATCTTGATAAAATATTATGTATTCTGCCTGGGTGGAACATAAATGTCTCAGCGGGAGAATAATCGCTTATACCCCGCAACGAAGAAGACAGGCATCACGTGATCCCTGAGCGGGAGAATGAATCCCTTCAACCCCGCTTCGAACCAAAAAGCTGCACGCATTTTTCCGAGTCAACAAAGTCACGTAACATAGCACCACAAGTTATCCTCAGCTCAATCAAACATCTGTTTTCTATCAATTTTGAATTTGCTTCAATTCTTTAACAAGTGCAAATTAAAACATGTCAGTAAGATAAATTCGTTTCAGCAATACCACGAGGGGTTCATGTTGTTTTATGCGTCCCGCCCTATGTTAAATATCACGAGCCGAAGGCTTATAATACTTCCACCTCACAGTGATAGCAATGATAACAAAAAATATTCAAGTGTTTGTAAACAGTAATCAGAACTTATTCATAACGCCATGTATTTCTTTCCAATACGCCTTTTGACGGCAGTCCGAAAATCCGAAAGTCCTGAAACGTCGTACCGCCCGCTTTACTATTTACGCACAATTTAACTTTAACAGAGTACCACATTCCACAGGTGATGCATAATTCTCACCCGAAACAGAATAATAAATGTAACCACTGTTTTGTATGCAGTCGTGATACCAAGGTTTTTAACATTTTTTGCTCATAATGTAAGTCAGTTTAATATATTTTAGCCACATAACAAGGGCATCCAAATTGTCATAAACGTTATTGTCATGTTGAGAATCGTACCCGACATAGTCGATCGTCAAGCCATTCAAGTAAGCCTGTGTCCTGGTACACGAGAAGGTAAATATATTTTCTTTGTAAATGGAAAATTTCACTTCATTGGTCCGAAAACCCGACACCTTCAATCAGTCATTGTACGTTAGAAAACCGGATACACTTACGTGTAACAGTTCTGTCCGATAGTTCAAATGTATAATTTATTCAATCACCAATTACTTAACATCTGACAATTTTTCTGATGCTCACTTCGCCTGTGTAACTTGGGTACGATATATTAACCATAACATATTGAGTTTATCTGGGATAATCGTACATTGTTGTATACTATAACCATTCTGCATATTCCTCTTCAGCTGATGAAGATTAGGTTTTAGCAGATATTCCTTTTATAATAATGAACAGAATTTTAACTACACATGATCACTCAGTCTTCGCGGGATATATCGGGAGTAGATGCGAGGTGACTGAACTGCTTCCCATGTCCATCGACATCAATCAAACAGTAGAACGTTCCACTAGACAATTAGTTCAAAGGAAGTTCTTCGTTATGCACTCATGTCTCAGTGAGACATCATTTATATCTATTCTGGCGGAAGTCAATTTTACACTACGTATTGATCACTGCCTGGTTATCTTATGCACTATTGACAACTAAACAAGTTAAAGTGTTTTGTGCACACTTATATGATGCACACTTATATGATGAGACATGTGAGTGTAGACAACATGTTATATCATTTCCTCAATATACCAATCTACATCACTGCTCATATTTCCACTCATTTCTTCTTCATATTTTCAAGCCCATTCAGCACGTAACATCGTATACACACCCTACTGACACTGCCGCGAACTCATAGTATGTCAATTCCTTATCAGCACAGCAACATAACTGTTCATATGTACTGTGATCAACTTGAGAATGACATCATATATCCAACCAACCTTCCCGCAAAACACAGACACAATGTACACATTCCGGCATGTACAGCTCCTCTAGCGACATGCTTTTACATGTATAACATTTTGTCGGATTTTTGGATCGATGATTTTAGTGTGGTAGATCGGTTTGATCGAATTGATCATATTACGGCGCAAGCGTCCAACACTTACCAATGTATATACATATCGTGTTCCTTGGTTATATTGCTTTGAGACACATATATCATATGCAAATGTTTTTGTTTTAACATCCTTGCCAAAATACATAGACTGAAGACAGAATCATTTATAATCGTAACATCAAAAGACATGTGATGGAATGGTTTTAATGGTTCTTGTCTTGATCAGTTTCTGCATACCGTGTGTTGATGATAAGGAAAATAAGAACACGCGTATCTACAGATGAGCTGATGAAAGCCAACATGAACAATTAACTGAATATACTTGAACAAGTGTATTATTTACTGCACTTGAACAAGACAGATGGCTCAGAAAAGACAAGTATCGATATGACTTGCGTGCAGGTGTCATCCAAAGAGACATGAAACTCTTATGGATCACAACTTCTCTATTGTTTGTAACAAGATTTCAGGACTACTTCGTCTCCCTTCACCTGCATCGTCACACGATGAACGGGCAAGAAGTTGTCATCCAAACACCTTTCATTTTTTTACATTCTTCTATCTTCTAAATGGCTATAAACACACGACTGACGCAAGTGTTAATACAACCGGCACAAGTATTTCACCCATGCCTATCGGCCTGATATGGCAAATGAAATCCTAAAATCCGAACTGCGATCGGAAAACCGGTAGGGGAATCCCCTTACGCTACTGCCATATACAATGTAAGAGTACTACGGGAATCGGGAATCGGATATATAAAGCCTGTCAGAACAGTCGACAGTATCAGACTGTGTCAGCTGGCTTTGGGATACACATGTGTGAAGTAGAGGCATAAGTACAGACAGCATGGGTAATACTGTTTCATCCTGGCCAATATCCCGATATCAGGTGGGTCAAGAGGTATGTATACAGCCATAGGCATATTTCACGTGCTTTCCCTTTTCGAACATTAGCGTGTCAATGTTTATAATGCGTGTGTACATGTTCAAGAGAATTTGTCAATGCATTTTTTTGTTTAGATCATGGAAGATTATCCTTATTAGTTTAGTGCTATGATGGTGTAGGTATCAATTGTGTTTGAAACTGTGTTTATTCGATTCCAGAGACTGTCCAACTCAGAGAACTCGATAAACTGCCAAAATGAACCCAATCTGACAGAGAGAGTTACAAGTACGTTACATTACATTGTTCGCTATTTTGTTTGCTTGTTTTTTTGTTTGTTTGTTGTTTAATGTCGCACTCAGCAATATTCCAGCTATATGACGGCGATCTTTAAATAATCGAGTCTGGACCAGACAATCCAGCGATTAACATCAGGAGTATCGATCTACGCAATTGGGATACGATGACATGCAACAAACATGTTAGCGAGCCTTACCACCCGATCCTGTTAGTCGCCTCCTACGACAAGCATAGTCGCCTTTTAGTTTGATGTTTTAGTTTTATTGAATTTAAACAATCTGCTTGTCTTTCAGGAAGTTTAGTTCTATGTGTACCAAATGATTTCTGTTTACGTTACTTTATGTATGTACCATACCTTTTTGTTTGATAAAGCTAATTTGGTATAATGAATGTGAACCGAA